TCATGGCTGGAGGAATGCAGTACCGAAAAGTCAGAATTGTGACATTTCCCACAGAAAATGAGAAAGAAGCTGCAGTACGTTAAAGTGAAGAAAAGGAACAGGTCAGCTGCTTCATGCTGTCAGAGCTGTAAGATGCTTCACAGAGCCTTTTAATTACCTAACTGGTTCAATGCTTACTGAGCAATGAATACTAAGATTTCTCTAAGTAAATGCTTAAAAATACTTCAAGTAAACAAATAAAGTAAAAAGAGTACCTGTAGTGTTTCTGGCCCCGTCCTTCCACGTGTCAGGGGTAATCACAGTGCCCAGTTTCTTCTCACCTATGGCACAAAAAGACAGAAGAGGAAAAAGCAAGGAGATGTAAGTGAAAATGCCAAAAAAAAGGTTTCTACTAAAGCCACAAGCCCCAAGCAGGGTACCCCCAAGTACCCCGAGGTGGGAGGGAATAAGCAGATACAGCTTCAGGCTCAGGCTTGTCCCTGTTGGGGCCCCTCTGTGAAGGGGCGTGCACTGTAACAGGGGAGCTCAACCCTCAGCCCGCGGTGTCATGTCATCGGGCCCGTGGGCTCCCCACAGGTCTGGAAATAGGGCAGTGGGGGGCTGTGGCACTGCTCCCCTATGGCCAAACTCCCAAGCCCGTGGGAAGCCCCAGGCCCTGCACTGGACTGGGCCCCACCGCAGTCTGCAGAGCCAGGCAGGGCAGTGCCCACCCCCAGGGCCCAATCCTGGCCAGAGAGGCTACGAGGGTGTTGGGGCCAGGCTCCTGGCAGCCCAATCTCAGCGGAGATGGAGGAAGGCAAGCTCCCAAGGCGCAATCCCAGCCAGGGGTGGGGGTGGAGCCAGGCTCCCAGGGGCCAATTCTGGCCTAAGGGAGATACGAAGGGGTGGGACCAGGCTCCAGGTGCTAGAGTTCCCATATCTCTGGGTTTTCCTGGATATGTCCTCTTTTTTGACTCCTATGTTGCATCCGGGCAGGTTTTTAAAATAATAGCAAATGTCCAGTTTTTCTCCTTTCCAGGGCTGGCTGCTCCAAGCTGGGAGCAGCGGGCAAGGTGATTGGCTGTCAGGGGCCACATGCGCCCCACGCGAGCTTTGGCAAGCCAGGTAACCAGAAAGAGCGAGAGAGCACATGGGCATGCTCGCAACGCAGGAGCTGCTTGGGCAGCAGGGCAGGGGAGGCAGGGGTCTGCAGGTTGGGAGTGAGGGGCACCAGCAGAGCTGGGGGGCAGAGGCTACAGGTCCATAGTGAGGGACACTGGCAGCACTGGGGGGGTCATGGGCTGAGGGCTGGGAGTGAGGGTCACCACCAGGACTGGGAGGGAGCAGGGGACTGGGGGGTGGGAGTGAAGGGCACTGGCAGGGCAGGGGTCAGTGGGTCCAGAGTGAGGGGAAGCAGCAGGGCTTCAGGGGGTTAGCTTTGTCTGGCAGGGGCAGGGACAGGAAGACAGGGCCCTGTGCACTCACACTTCTCGCAGACCATAGCGATGGCGGCAGCGGGGAGGTAAACACTGACAGCTGCACTTCCCGGCGCGCACTTCCTGTCCCGCCCCCGGCCCGACCCGGCCCTCGCGCGGATTGGCCGCCGCAAGCCGGCCCTCACTGGCCGGCGCCCGCTCCCGGCGCGCCACC